AAAATAATGTTCTTTTTAGCAATGTCATATGACCCCTTTAAGCTTCATATCGAACAGGTAAACTCATCTATTCACTAGTCGCTTGCTTGTTTGAAATCGCACTCTTGCAAACTATTCCAACTCAAACTTTAAGGGAAACTGTTTTTTAAATTAAGACTGAAAGAGCCTAATGATGACATTGAAGTCATGTGACTGTGCTGTAGTTAGTTTATAGTCTACATTTAGCTTTTTACTTCCGGCGATTGTATTTAGGCTTCAGCTGTGTTGATTTTTGAAGATTATCATGATGAACCCAATGTGTATGAATCATACACTTTTGTCATTCACAGAGCTTTTTTTTCTGCAGTAATCCAAAAGCCAATGGAAAAATCCTATTGGATTTTTATCGATGGAACCAGGGTGATGTTAATGTTCAGGTTGGACTACAAAAATAAAAATCACTGTATAATTAGTGATAGACCAATATATATCAGCCAGTGTTACCCATAACCTACTGGTTGTTTTAAATCGAGACTAATTGCTATTTGAAGCTTTTAAAAGGCTCAGTTTGAGAGCTTTCTTGACATGTATGACCCTGGAGAAAAACATTGTTTGAATCCCTTGCAGGTCACCTGGATACTATACAGTAGGTTTGAGTATTTTCAGTGTATTTTATAGGGTTTCAGTTGAAATGGCTTAATAAAGAAAAGCTCAGATCTTTTATTTTAGGTAAAGACCCACCAAATCTCATGGGAAAACAATTATTTTGTGATTTTTGCATGAAAAAAAAAGTGTCATGACAGGTTTGAAGTAGTTAGGGCCACTAAACTTTCTCCAGTCACTGGCAGGTGTGGCAGAAAGTTAATTCTGGATCCTTCCTGTAAGAGTATCATGAGAGAGGCTTCACGTCTGCTAAAACAGATGGCAGAAAGCTAGTCGAGAAACTTGATGTTGAGACGATCTGACCACAGCTGCATTAAAGAAGAGCTTCTAGACTGAAGTGAGAGAACAAACTGAGTCCGCAGCCGCTCTCTTCACCCTACAGGAGAGATGTTCAAATATAGATATTTTATACATGAGGTTGTCTGCCATCGCTGTTTCCTATTATGAGTATGAAATCAGACAGTGTGGATCCTTTGATGATAAGAGTAGCTGAAGTCAAAGCTGACAGTCAAGTGAAATGATGAACCTCTTAAACCCTTGTAAATAGTTCAAGTTGAATAAGTGATGCTGAAGAGAGTGAATGGACCTGTGTTAAAGTAAAAGTGCATTAAGAATCAATCTGTCTGTCTAGTTATTAGTGATTTTGAGTAATTATGTAAAATAAGCAGTTTTTTGTCTTATTTGCTTTGATCAAATTGCATTATATACACTACTATTCAAAAGTTTGAGGTCAGATTTTTTTTTATGTTTTAGAAAAAAAAAGAAAAAAAAGTATCTTATGCTCACCAGGGCTGTATTTATTTGTTTAAAAATATAGTAAAAACAGAAATTTTGTGAAATATTTTTGCTATTTAAAATAATATTTTTCTATTTGAATATATTTTAAAATGTAATTTATTCCTGTGATGTAAAGCTGAATTTTCAGCATCATTACTCCAGTCTTCAGTGTCACATGATCCTTCAGAAATCATTCTAATATGCTGATTTGCTGCTCATTTCTGATTATCAATGCTGAAAGCTGCTTCAGATTTTTTTGGAAACCATGATGCATTTTATTTTTCAGGATTCTCTAATGAATATAAAGTTCAAAACAACAGCATTTATTTGAAACAGAAAACTTTTGTAACATCATGAATGTCTTTACTGTCGCTTTTGATCAATTTAATGCGTCCTTGCTGAATTAAAAATGTATTTATTTTTTAAAAACCTTACAAACCACAGACAATTGAGCAGTAGTGTGTGTGCGCAACCTTCACTAAAAAATAATGCATTGAGACTGAAATAGTGCGCTATTCATTTACAAGGCTGTCAGTACATTGCATGCTATTCGGAATGACCACATCAGTTGTGTTTCGTCTCTATTCTTAAAAATGAGCAAACTACTGCAAGATTGAGTAGCATCTACCGTATGTGCATAATATATGCAGATAATACACAGTTCAAAGTAGCAGAAGTGTGGAAAGTAATGTGTTTTGGTTGTCAGAATCTTTAAGCCGTGAACAGAATTAAGGCGGTCACCTTGTCTCAACATCCCAGCCTGATTGGCTTCATTTTGCGGTGTACATAAACTCTCAGCCGGAACTAGTCACAACCCTGAACGGATTTAAGTGAAAGTGACTGTGGGTAAGAAATCCAACCTCATTCTCTTTAATTAGGCTTTCTTGCCTGCCACGGATGGCCGTGTCCTCAGCCGAGCCGTCAGAGCCGTGCTGGAATCTGAATTGCCGCGGGTGTCTGTCAGGTAACGTGTTTGACAGGGTTGCCAGGTTTTCACAACAAAAACCACCCAATTGCTACTCAAAACTAGCCCAATCACGTTTCAAGGGGGGTTCCCGGGTAAAAATCGCCTTCAGGGGGGTAAAATACACGTTTTTCAGCGGGGTTCCTCCTGTAAAATTCGCATTCCAGGGGCTGAATTTCACGTTATTGGGGGCGCTTCAACCCGCGGACTAAAGTAGCCCAATTCCGCGGGAAAACTGCGGACTGGGCAACACTGGTGTTTGAGATAATCCGACTTACAGACTTTTCATTAAGACCCTAAAGAATCATATCAACTTGTGGACAATGGGCATCATATGACCCCTTTAAGAAAACACAAGCAGGGCCGCCGGAGCAAAGCAGTGATGTCAGGCACCGAGTGGGATTATACGACAGCAATGTCAGACATGAGGAGAATCTATATTTAACAAGAATTTCATATATATTCCTGTTGAGACTTTTTGTTATTCCTTGAACGTCAAAATTTCTAGAAGCGGCAGCACAATGGCTTGTTGTATTCATTTTAATTCTGTTGTAGGCCTGCAACACATTGTTCCCGCTCAAGGGAATTAATTCTTTTCATGAGACTTCCTTCCATTTGTTGTGGCGCGTTTATCGATTTCAGGACTCAGACGCCGAGGGCTGAGCAGCCGCAATGTCAGTATAAAAACCCTCTGACTCACATTTTCCTTCGTGACATTGAATTAATGCCATCTCTGTTCCCGAGAACACGCAAACCATGCACGCATAGGACAGAAGTGAATTTCTTTTTTGCATTATTTGTAACTAATAGTGTTTTGCAGTTGAATACTTGCGATGTTTTATTGAATTAATGAAGGAATGTTACCAGTTGAGTTGTTGATGTTGACACTGATAATTTGGGCACATCTGACTAAAAATGTATGTTTATCAAGACCTTTCGTGATGTTTTTGCTTAAATCGTTTAAACTAGCCTATATAGAGTGCTGAAGATGGCGTAGGCTATATATATTTGTAGGCCTAATTTAGAGGTTTTTTGTTAAACACCCTACATCTTGGATGCCCTGGGGGGAAGCAGATAAACATCAAATTTTCATTTTTGGGTGAACTATCCCTTTAAGATACTTTGACGTTTTAGTCTACTACACAAAATACATCAGAAAAAAACCCTTGTGATTTTTTAAAAGCTTTATTAGTCTTAAAATAGGTGGTTGCTAATGAGTGTCTAAAATAATCCAAAAGCCAGTGGAAAACTCCTACTGAGTTTTTGTCGACGGAACCAGGTTGATGGAAGGTGATTGTCAAATTTATCAAATTATTTTAATGTATTATATACACTGCCATTCAAAAGTTTGGGATCAGTAAGATTTTTAATGTGTTTTTTTTAAAGAAGTTTCTTATGCTCATCAAGGCTGCATTTACTATTCAAAAGTTTGGTGTCAGTCATTTTTTTTTTCTTTTTTTTAAGACATTAATACTTTTATTCAGCAAGGATGTGGTAAATGGATAAAAAGTGATAGTAAACACTTATATTGTTAGAAAAGATTTCTATTTTGAATAAATGCTGTTCTTTTTAACTTTTTATTCATCAAAGAATCAAAGACAAAAAGTATCACAGGTTCCAAAAAATATTAATCAGCACAAAAGTTTCAACACTGATAATAAATCGGCATATTAGAATGATTTCTGAAGGATCATGTGACACTGAAGACTGGAGTCATGGCTGATGAAAATTCAGCGCTGTGTCACAGAAATAAATTATATTTTAAAGTATATTAAAATAAGAAACCAATATTAGAAATTGCAATAATATTTCACAATATTACAGTTTTTTTTCTGTATTTTTGATCAAATAAATACAGCCTTGATGAGCATTAAAAAACATAAAAAATCTTACTTATCCCAAACTTTTGAATGGCAGTGTATGTGTATATTAACTTAACACTATACTATTATATATTAGCTTGCGTTTCCATAAACAGTAAAGGTAGTAGATGTACCGTAAAGTCACAATATTCATCCACAATGGCTGACAAGCTCATTTTTATCTCATCATTCTCTCTTTTTCACCTCATTTGTACTGTAAGCATCAGTGAATGCACACAAGAGTCTGGATTCTCCCCGCTGACCTCGACCTCTCCAAGAGCACATTTATTTATTGGGTCCTAATATAAACAGCATGCTTCAGATTACGTCTACAATGTAGCTCTTCTGGGATCCAGAAGTCTTTTGAGTTTACCCTTTTTTTTTTAGGCCAGATGGAGCTAAAAACTGAGACCTTTGGAAAGAGATTCAGTGATGGCCTGTTGATGGTGCAAAGCATTTTGGGAAGGTCAAAGCTTAAAATATCCTACTTTAGCAAATATATAAACTCGGCTAGTTTAGCATCTTCAGTTCGGTACTGTGAATAACGAGTATCAGATCATAATGCAATGTTACTTTTTTGACATAGAATACCGTAATTGAAGGTATTCAAAACAGTACTTTGTATTATTATTGTATTACCACTCTAGGGAGGAGTTGATGTAACTAAATTAGAGTTTAATAAAATTGACTCATCCTCATTCAAGGAAATACATAAATGTAAGCACCTTTTGGTTGTCTACGTTATTTACAGTAGTTTTCATTGTAGCTCTGCATCAGTAAAACCGATGGAAATTGATATGAAATCTTGTGTTGTGTTTTGGCTAATTCTACTAACTACAGTAAATTGATCAGCATGACATACACTGTTTTTATTTGAATTAGGGCTGGATATTGACACAGATTTCACAAATCAATTTGATTCCAATTTTGATTCTATTTGATATTGATTCTTTTGGATATACATCAGGTACGGTACTTATCCATTTTTTTAACTAATGCTGTAAACTGTTAGTTTATATGGGGAAAACTGTAAGTTGGTACAATATTAAAGCATAATATTAATCTTAACTGTCCAAATATTTATTTTTAGATATAATAATGAACACTCAAATACTACAAACATTTAAGTAACACAAAAATCACTTTTTTAAAATCAATTTTATTATAAGAAAATTGTTTCTACTCCAGTTCGTTGTTGAAATATAAACACTAGAAAAAATAAGACATTCTAATGGTTTCCACTTCAAATACCATTACAAACATTAAAAATGGTTTCCTGCAGTGTGTTTTGTAAGCTGTAAGCTGTACTGTTTCTTACCATCTGATGTTCATTTATGTTTATTTCGTGATATTACTAGTGGTAGAGCAGAAGAGATGATCGGGTCTACAGCGATCTGTCATGTGACATCAAAGAGCGCCAAAACGGTATTTATTGTTGGAATTTTGTCAAACAAATTGACAGAATTTGAAAGCTCCGAATTTGTTTCATATTAAAAATAACAAAACGCAAAGCCTATTGCGATTGAACGGCAGGCGCTACAAATAGCCTAATGTTTAGTGAAGTTTTGTTCACGCATCAACCGAAAACAGCATAGACTAAAATATCGATAATCGAGAAATCAATGTTGTCGATCCAGCTCTAATTTGAATGTTCTGGAGAAAAATTGAAGATTTTTGCATATTTATTATCATTTGTTGGCCTATCAAACATTTTTTGAAGATAGGGTTAGGTGTAAACATTTAAACCACCTTTATCTATCGAGCTATTTATCGGCTATTGTTTATAGGTATGTGAAAAAGGGACGGGAAGTGATGCGTGAGGATCACGCATTAACTTTATGGTCTGCACCTCTGACTTACAGACCTCAAGATGTTTGTTTAGAAGAGAAATCAACATCATTGATAACGTCATTAAAACTACTACATCATCCAAATGCATATTTTATAAGTTCATCGTGTCGTTAGGTTAATTCAGATGGCCAACGCAAAATGGCACAATGCAGACAATGTTGTTGTAGGACAGCAAGATGGATGTGTGTGTTTGTGTGTGTATCTCAGCGAGTGTGTGTTTGTGTGAGTCTGTTTACAAGACTGCATGTGTTTACATTCCGGGGAGCCGGTCCAAGCTTCAGAGACTGCAGTAAATGAATGAAAGGAAATGCTTTATTCTGCTTGGTAATGGAAAAACACTCCACGAATTCAGCTGTGGTGAAAATGAAGCTGTCGTCTGCCAGCTCGCACCAAGATGGCACGATGTTCCCCAACGCCATGAGAGGAGATCCTGGGAAACTCCTACTAGTCTAGTTCAATGTCTCCATAGGAGCGGCGTTTTAAGGCATCATAACAGCTAACGGGGAACGTTCTTAAAGTATTGTGGTTGGTTTTCTCAAAGTTATGAACCTACAAATTAACTATACGGTAACGTTCTTCCAGTAACGTTAATAGAACATTAAATGTTAGCATTGTTTATGCATCGTTCATGGAACATTTATTCCGAAAACGTTTTAGTTGATGTTTTTTAAATTGTTACTACTTGGTTTGGAATGTTTAGAGAACTGTCAAAAGTAACGTTCCCGATATGCAATATGATTTGCAATATGATAAAATGGAATGTTCCCTTAACATTCTCAAAACCAAGAAAAAACGGTTGTTGTGAATGTTCAGAAATTACATTTAAATAACTTAAGGGGAACGCTAGTAGAACATTTATTCTTTAGTATCAAAGTTTTGTTTTTTCTGTTTTACCCAAATTCTAATGATCTCATTAAAAAAAAATACAAAATACAACAAATAAATAAATAAATAAATAAAAATGACTATTTCATCCAATATTTGTGTGTTCTATGTATTGTTCGATTTTAGCTTAGTAACATCTAAAAAAGTAGTTTAGTGTAAAGAGTAAAGTGTTGACAAAAAAGTCATTTAAAATAATTAAATATAATTTAAAAGTAAATATTTTAAATATTTGTATGGTTCCATGCATTTTTATGCTTATTAGAATACTGCGATTTTAATTTAGC